CGTTGTCAGTGGTGTGATTAGTGGCAGCGGCAGCAGCTTGGCTTAGCTGTTTCTCACTGAGCTCTTTCTGCCTGGCCTCCTTCTCTGCCACTTTCTTCTCGGCTTTCAGGCGTCTTTTTAGCTCACTGTTGGAAAGAGGAGAGCATTCAATGTGAAAGCTGCCTGAAGAGTCCTCTATCTTCAAAACATGAACAGCCTGGGGAAAATACTCCTGCTCAGTTCCTCATACCTGATTTCTATGTAGTTCAGGCTGGCCTCAAACTCATGGCGCTCTTCCTGCCTCGGCCTGAGTGCTGGGATTACAGGCGTGTGCCACCATGATCAGCTTCCCCAATTTTATATTCCATCTCTAAACTCTTAGTCACTACACTCTATGCATATGAGATAAGTAAAAAAAAAAATAAAAAATAAATAACATTAGAACAAAGATGTGAAAGATCATTTTTAGACCTCGCTTTCCACTCTAGAATTGACATTAGGGACCAACTATGGATGAAGATGCACCAGGTCAAAGAAAACTCTACACACTGTACTAGTTTATATTTAGAATATAAAAAAAGATTTTCCAGAAAATTGGCAGGATAGGCTTTGCTTGAGGTACCTATGCTATGAAGTTCCTTGATGCCAGGGACTGTTATCCTGGTTGTTTGGTATCTCGTAGAAGATGTAGTTCCCACAGTACCAGACCTAATGTGATAAGGTAGTATCTCTCCTGTCTGCCACTCCCTTGAAATCCTTTTCTGAGGAGCAAGTGAGGAAGCACAGCAGTCTCTTCAGAGCTCAAGAAGACACTCCATGGACAATCTCCCTAAGTTTGGGTGTCAGCACTGGTCTCACTTTTGCACCTGCAGCCTGTTTTCAATACCCTAGAGTACAACACTGTACACAGCAGAATAATACAGGGGATGTTATACCATCACCGTTGTCCAACTGCCTAGGGCTAAATTCTGACAATCAATCCTGCAGCCCTAGGTGAGTGACTAAACGCCTCATCGGAAGGCGGAGATAAGACCTGCTCCCACCAGTTGTTTGAAAAGTGAGAAGTTTGCAAAGGGATGACTCTATCTTTGGTATTTAGTTACCACTCAAATGGGAGCTATTCTAGGCCTCCCTCATTGTCTTAATCCTTTACTTTGTGTGTCTAGAACAGAAACCACATAAAGTCAAATATTTCTGGTCAAATCTTTCATTATCGATCTCTTCATACTTGTTCTCCAACACTCAGAAAACCAAACCGATCTGGACAACTCGATATCCTTTATGATCTGAACTTGCTATCTGAATCAGAAACAAAAGACATTTGGATAGAGAAATATTCTCACTCAAAAAGAACTTATGGATCTTTGTTTCAAACTGCTGGTGATAACTTAGTATTTGGCAACAGTGAACTGTGGGAAAAAGTGTCGTGTGCACGTTACTACCTAGCTTTAGGGTACACTCTCCATTTTCCTTTTGAGACAGGGTCTCACTATGTAGTTCAGGATGGTCTTGAACTCACTATGTAGCCCAGGCTGGCCTCGAACTCATAGTGATCCTCCTGGTTTATCCTCCCGAGCATGAGCCACTGTGCCCAGCCCCACATTTTCAATGAGTTTAGAGTTACCTTAAACAACTAATTGAGGATTTGAATCCATCATCCTCTTCAAAGTAGGCAACTCTTTCTAGATAAAAATGTATCTTGTAATAGTTGTTACTTTTAAATCAAATCAATCCTAAAAATAGTCTCAACAGGTCCTAAGGATAACGCTAAAACTAGAACCAAGAGCAAAGAAATCCCCAAAATGACAGAAAAGGGAAAATAGCTGGCAAGGAGAAATTCTTTATTCACACTAGGTGTGGTTATGTTGGTAATCCCAGCACTCTCTCTAAGGCTAAGGGAAGAGGATTGCAAAAGCTTGAGCCCAGCCTGAACAATTTAGCAATTTAGGGAGCATCTGTCTCAAAATTTAAAAAAAAAAAAAAAAAGGCTGGGAGATATAGCTTAGTGTGAAGGCCCTGGGTTCAATTCCCAGTAGCACAAAACAAAACAACCCAAAACAAACAAAACATAACAAAAACCAAAAAACCAAACCTTTAAACAAAGATCTTTCAAACTATTCTGGAATAAAATCCAAGTCATTTTAAGACTCTAGGGGAGCTCAGCATGGTGGTCCATGCCTATAATCCCAGAACCTGGGAGGCTGAGGCAAGAGGATTGCCCTTGAGTTCCACTCCACTCTGGGCTATTCAAGGCCTGGCTGAACTGCGTGGCAAGACCCTTCTTCAAAAACAAAAAACAAAAAAACCCCAAAAACACAGTAACAAAAACTCTAAGGAGAGAAGATAAAAATTTAGAAAAGAGAAAGTGAGAAAGAACTACTGCTTTTGGTCCAAAGACTTACCCAGGGGCTTAACAGACACTGAAATAAAGAACAGGATTTTTGCTCTCAGAGCAGTAAAGATAATGGGCACCAACCTTCTTTTATCAGAAAGTGGCTTGTCCTTGTGAACCGCTGTGAAAGGAGCAAGTTGGCCCAGGCGAAGTTCCCTCTGACCCCATTCTGCCCAGGTTTGGCGCAGGGACCCCCTAACAAGCCTTACAGCAGCTTGTGTCAACATGGCAGAACACCCTGGAGCTAATGATTACCACGACCTAGCAGGAAACACAGAGATGGGGGTGAGCCGGCAGACAGTATATACCCGTCCCACCTATACGCTCTCTTCTGAATTAGAGGGGAACCATGTTTGCACTGCCGTTCAGTGTCCTGTTTAAGTTACAAACTTGAAAGGCTTTTGGCCCTGTTAACGCTGTTCTGCGACTGTACCCAACAGTATTCTCTTTCTTGGCTATGGAAAGAAGGTACATATCTGGGGTTAAAGAGTCAAATGCAGCTGGGCATGGTAGCCCATGCCTGTAATCCCAGCACTTGGGAGGCTGAGGCAGGAGGATCACTGCAAGTCAGAGGCCAGCCTGGACTACAAAGTGGGTTCAAGGCCAGCCTGCACTGCATGGTGAGACCCTGTCTCAAAAAGACCAAAAAAAAAAAAAACTAAATGTAGGGCTGGAGATTTAGCTCAGTGGCACAGCACATGCCTGGCAAGTGTGAGGTCCTGAGTTAGCTTCCTGGTACCCTCCACTCCAAATGTCAAATGCAAGTCAACAGTGTACAGGTAGAAAAGATTCTAGAATATGGGAGACAGAATGTGAGGCAGTGTTTCCAAAGCCCTAACCAACTATGGTTTCTCTCTAGATGAAATGGTGGGTTACCAGATGACAATGCAAAACATATAAAAGCAAAATGTCACTATCAAATGCAATCTCTACACAATGCTAAAAGAAAGGGCTTAAAGCTCGGTATGATGACAGGAGCCTATAATTCAACTTACTTGGGAGGCTGAGACAAGAGGACTCATGGAGCCCAGGACTTGGAGACCAGACTGGGTAATAAAGGGAGAGCCTATCTTAACAAAAATTAAAAGGAAAAAAAAAAGAGAAAATGTCAACCACACATCTCAGAGTCAAAGACAAGACCTGTCTGGAGCTCAAAGAGCAAAGAGAAAAAGAATGGTCTCACACCACTTTGTATTTATACATCATTAGTACTGGAAGACAACAGATTACAGGGATCATACTCTTCTGTGTTCAAATAAATTTGAAGGGGACCTTTCATTTGAGAATGAGATGCTGCCCATTTGGTGGGTTTGCTTCCTTCCTTCCTTTCTTCCTTATTTCCTTCCTTCTTCCCTCCCTCTCTCCCTCCCTTCCTTTTTTCTGAGACAGGGTCTCACTATGTAGCCCAGGCTGGCCTCGAACTCATGGCTGCTGGGAGTACAGGCATGTGCCACCACACTTGGCGTCATCTGGTTTCAAACTTGGGGACAATCTCTGGCAGTATAAAATGATGTTCATTAAAGATGTCAGACTAATGAATTTCCAGGAACAATTAAGAAAAAGAGGAACTGTTACTTTCAGCTGAGTGTGGTGGCTGCGCCTGCAATCCCAGCACTTGGAAGGCTGAGGCAGGAGGATTGCTGTGAGTATAAAAACCAGGGGCTGTGAAGTTAGACTGGACACACACTTCACTTTAGATGTCTGCTCCAGTGCTGGAAATCAGCTCTAGAACACAACCAGCAATGTACACCTTAGCATACAATGATCACCCAACGCTTTGGCTTATTAATTTTAAAACAAGACACTAATACCTATTGTGCAAAATTGCTGAGATTAGTCACACAGCTTGTGCAGATCAAGCATTATTCGTGGCATATAAAAACTGCTCAAAAACACGGTAGCTTTAAGTAAAGTCTGCAAATAGTAACTAATTTTCTTAAAAATCACACTTCAATTGGAAACCTTTTTTTCAAAGCATCTGCGATCTACAATCAATCCTAAAATTCAATTACTGATGTAACCGATCAAAATCCACTCAGCCGCTCCTAAAGTCTAAAAATGTTTCCAAAGGGTGTGGCTGTAGTGCCACACCTATAATCCCAGCACTAGAGAGGCTGAGGCAGGAGGATTGCTAAATTTGAGGCCAGCCTGAACTACACAGTGAGACACCGTCTCAAAATACCAGCTAACCAACAAAAACAAAAAAATAAAAGATGTTCCCACTGGGTGTGCGTGCCGTTTCCCTCCAGCATTTTCCCCTCGCAGCAGTCAGATGTGGGAGGGATCTCGCCAGCGCCCCGGGGCAGCCCTGGGGATGTAGTTTCTCAGCGCTGCGGCTACTTCTCCACGTGGACGCACCCAAGGGAGCAGGCAGACAGGCCCCCGCCCTTGGCATGGGGCTCAAGGTACTTCCCAGCCCGGACCTGCTAACCTCAAAGACTTAATGACCCACACAGACACTTACTTTTTGCTCAGTTTGGGTTCGCCGTCCACTTTCACCTCGACCCCCTCCACCGCAGCCATCGCTCCGGCCACCTGCTGTGAAAGTGACGACGGCAGTACAACTATTTCCAGGGTAAGGTCGAAGCCCCGCCTCTTCCGGGGCGGAGGGGCGGGCACTCCTGGCGCGCAGGCGCAGTGTGAGCTCCGTGGCTGTCAGAGCGACTTCCGCAAGGGCTCCCTCTAGGAAGCGCTTGTCTCCGGGCGGCTGCTGTGGTGCCGGGCGTCAGACATGGCGGAGGCGCTGGAGATGGGCAAAGACCCCAACGGGCCCACCCATTCCTCTACTCTGTTCGTGAGGGCAGACGGGAGCCCGCTGTCGTTCTACGTGCGGCCCAGCCCGGCCAAGCGCCGGCTGTCCACGCTGATCCTGCACGGCGGCGGCACCGTGTGCCGCGTGCAGGAGCCCGGGGCGGTGCTGCTGGCCCAGCCGGGGGAAGCGCTGGCCGAGGCCTCGGGCGACTTCATCTCCACGCAGTACATCCTGGACTGCGTGGAGCGCAACGAGAGGCTGGAAATGGAAGCCTATCGGCTGCGCGCCGCCTCGGCGGGCGAGCAGGCTGCGGAGTCCAAGCCCGGCGCCGCGGGCGAGGGCGCCGCCGAGCGCGAGCCGCAGCCGCTCCCGGGGCGCGTGGCCTTCACGGACGCGGACGACGTGGCCATCCTGACCTACGTGAAGGAGCACGCGCGCTCGCCCAGCTCGGTCACCGGCAACGCCCTGTGGAAAGCGATGGAGAAGGGCGCGCTCACGCAGCACTCGTGGCAGGCCATGAAGGACCGCTACCTCAAGCACCTGCGCGGCCAGGAGCACAAGTACCTGCTGGGGGACGCGCCCGTGAGCCCCTCTTCGCAGAAGCTCAAGAGGAAGGCGGAGCAGGACCCCGAGGCTGCGGACAGCGGGGGTGAGGCCTGCGGGGCGGGGCCTCGCGGCGGGGGCGGGGCCGCTTCCGCCAGCTGCCAAGTTCCTTTGGCTTCTGGCCGCATCGCTCGGCCCCTCCCACTTGTTGGCAATGGGATAATACCGCCCCACTTTCTTTACAGTCTTTGCTCTCGTCTTCCCCCAGCTCCAAGTTTTCCAAACTTTTTTTTTTGAGGGGGTGTGTTTCTGAGACAGTGTCTCGCTCCGTAGCTCAGGCTGACCTAGAACTCACGGTGATCCTCTTGCCTCAGCCTGCTCAGTGCTGGGACCACAGGCCTGTGCCAGCCCACCGGCAACATTATGTTTTCAAGGTGCATACACTGTACGGTGTATAAAATGGACGCACCATAAAGAGAAATTTTAATGCAGTTGAATTGCAAGTTGGGATTCAGTTATCGTTAGGACACCTTGCAAAGCTATTAAGACGTTTAACTGTTGACATAATGGGTATTGACCGTTTATACCACAAACTCTTTTGTTTAAAAAGGCGTGCTTGGAGCCAGGCATACATAGCAATCACATTCGTCATAGGAAATTTGTACATGTACATGATTTATCTTGACTTTCTCCTCTAGTTCCCCAACCTTCCCTTCAGCCCCTCTTCCAAGCAAGGTTTTTAAAATTTATTTATTTATTTATTGTGAGACAAGTTCAGGTTGGCCTTGAATTCACTGTGTATCCCAGTCTGGCTTTGCACTTGTGGCACTTCTCCTGCTTCAGCCTCCTAAGTGCTAGGATTATAGGTGTGCGCCACCACACCTGCCCCACAGTTTGCTTTTTTTTTGGACTGGGAATCGAACTGGGAAGTGCTTGCTAGGAACGCATTTGTGCCACTGAGCTATATCCCCAGCCCTCACAGTTTGCTTTTTTAACTTAATATTTATTTTGAAGTCTGTGTGTGTCTGTGCATAGCTTTGTGTTCTTTTTTCATAAACTGCATAATATTCCACTATGTGATGTACTGATATTCTAATTTGTTTACTCCTTTTTGTTTTTGGTGGTAAAGATAAGCTAAAACCCAAAACCTTGTACAAGCTAAGCACATTCTCTACTCCCAACTTTATTATTAGAGAAAATTCCAAACATTTATAAAACTAGGATAATGTAGTAAACTATACCACATATATCCATCACCCAAATTTACCTGCTTGTAGTTCATGGCCAGTTTTTTCATCTATATCCTTGATCCCAACTTCTTGTATTACTTTTAAAAGTAAATGCCAGGCACCTTATCTGTTTTATCTTGCCATATTTTATTTATATTTTACATAACTTATTATTATATATTTATGTGAATATATCAACATACATTATATGATTATATTATATCATTTTAACTATTTTAATATGTATCTGAAGGTAAGGTTTCTTTTCTATTTATTTATTTATTTTTTGGTTTTGGTTTTTTCTGGTGCCGGGAACTGAACTCACAACTTCGCGCTTGCCAGGCTGGCGCTGTGCCACTGAGCTAAATCCCCGGCCCCTAAGATTTCTTTTCTAGTTGCTATATTTAAATTTTATATACAGTAAAAATGAAACTTTGTATACAAGTAAATGTGTTTTAAAAATTTATGGTAAAATATATGTAATATAATTTTTTTGTGTATGATGCTGGGGATCAAACCCGGGCCTTGTGCATGCAAGGCAAGAAAGAGCTCTATCACTGAGTCACATTCCCAGCCCCTGTAATATAAAATTTAAAAATTACTATTTTAACAGTTTAAATGTTCAGTTTGGTAACGTTAAGTACATTTATATGTACAACCATTATCACTATACATGTCTATAATTTACTCATCTTCCAAAAATGAAATTCCATACCTATTAAACAGTAACTCCCCCTTCCTCTCCTCAGTCGTCTGGCAACTGCTATTTTACTGTATTTTGTTTTGTCTTGTTAGTTTAGTCAGGGTCTCTTGTAGTTCAGCCTAGTCTGGAACTTTCTTGATACATAGTCTGGGTTAGGAGAGAGGAGTCTTTTTTTTTTTTTAATCTTTTTGAGACAGGGTCTCGCTATGCAGTTCACGCTGGCCGTGAGCTCACTTTGTAGCCCAGGCTGGTCTTGAACTTGCAGTGATCCTCCTGCCTCAGCCTCCCAAGTGCTGGGATTCCAGGCATGCGCCACCACACCTGGCTGGAGAGAGGAGTCTTGCACCTCCTGGGTTAGCCTCAATACTGGGATTGTAGGTGTGCACAAATATACTCAGCTCTTGTTCTACGTTTTTTAGGAATTTTATTTCTAGGTACTTCATACAAGTGGAATCATATATTTGTCCTTTTGTATCTGGCTGTTTCACTTAGCGTAATATCTTGAAGTTTCATCCATATTGTAACCTGTGTCACAGTTTTATTCTATTGAAAGGCTGAATAATATTCCATTATATGTATGCACTATATTTTGTTTATCCATTCATCAGTGGACATTTGGGTTGTTTCATCATTTGCCTGTTGTGAATAATGCTGCTGGGAACATGGGTATACTAATATATGTTTGAAACTGCTTTCAGTTCTAGGCATTCTAGGCACTTCAGAAGTGTAATTATGGACTGTTTTCCAGTTTGTATGGGTTTTAACACACACAGATTTGTGTAGCCACTACCAAAATCAGAATGCAGAACAGTTCCATCACATAAAAAAACTTTCTTTTGCTGTTCCCTTATAGTAAATTTTAGTAATTAGAAAGGGAACAGAGTTAAATCTTCAGAGGACAGAATGTAAAGAGGAAACAGGATGTATAAATTTAGGAAGCCCTCATTTTTAGAGATGATATGTAGTGATTGTGGTACACTACTCCGGTCCACCTTCAGCTGCTGGAAGACTTGCCTTGCCCGAGGTCCTAAGGACTGCCAGTGTCCTGTGGACTGACCTGTGTGAGTTTTTAAGGTGGTGTTTCTTTTCTCCAACTCAACCAACTCTGAAAGGCCTTCCTAGCTCCAGAATTTCTTGTGGCTTTGGCTAAAGCCTCATTAAGTGACTTTTTTTTTTTTTTGGTACCGAGAATTGAACTCAGGACCTTGTGCTTGCCAGGCAGACGCTTATGACGCTGAGCTATATTCCCAGCCCTGAAATGACTTTTTTTTAAAAAAAAAATTATTTATCTTTGTATTCATTGCAGAAATGCTTTTCCAACTCAACCTCTGTCTGCCTACTTTTGATTTCTTCTCTTCAGCAAGTGTTTTTCCAAGATTACTCCCTAATACAGCCTTTTATTTATTAATGTCTGCCTCAGAATCTGCTTATGAATCAAATATCTGATGCATTTTTGTTAATTTGCATCTGTAAATACAAAGCAAAAAATGAATTAAGCTTGAAGAGTATTTTTATATGTCAGAGCGTAGGACTATTGTCACTATTTGCATAGTACCACGTTTTGAAAGCAAGTGTAGAAATTAGTGGACCTAAGTGTTTTATGCTGTTCCCACTCTTCTGAATCACAAACAGATGTCTTCAAATAGGAAAAAAAGTGCAAGCTTATTCCTGGCCCAGGCTATGCAGTACATTTTTGGTTTATGCAAAAGAGGCTAGTGCTTAATCGGTGCTATTCTTCTTTTTAATAGAACCACAGAATAAGAGAACTCCAGACTTGCCTGAAGAAGAATATGTGAAAGAAGAGACTGGGAAAAATGAAGAAACAGTAAAAAAAATGCTTGTAGAAACCACCCAGGACTTTGGGGAAGTTGTGGTATGTTAACTAGATTTACTCCTATTTTTCCCCCCTATTCTTGTTCTCTTTTGAATTACTAGGGGTTTTTTTGGAGGGGGAAGGCTATGGGGAATTGAACTCAGGACCTTGTGCTTACCAGGCAGGTGCTTATGCCACTGAGCTATATCCCTGGCTCTCTTCTCTTTTGAAACTGGTTATCCTGTCCATCTTTTTCACCCACCTGAGACCCAGAAAGATAAGAGACATGTTCAAGATAGAGAAAGAGAGAATGGAAGTAGAGGAAAAAGGAAAGTAGAACTGATGAGGGTTTAGGCACGGTGCCCTGAAGCTTTTAGTTTTTGGTTAGACAGCCTGGAGAAGAGATGGAGAAAAAACATTTTTATCTTTCTCAGAATCCTAAATGTAATTTAAAAAAAATTTATAGTAATTTTTCTTTTATAGGTAAATTTAATTTTTGTGTACATAGAGCTTTTGGGACTATTTTACTTCTTACCTCTTCAGTTCCCTTATGGAGTGTTACAATCTGGGAGTGAAGTCAAACACTTAACAGATGACCTAAGAAACACACATGTATATATAAATGTGTGTGTATTTACATATATACATGTATGTGTTTTTTCATATGTTAGCTTCTAATTTGTTGAAATATTGTAGAAAATTTTATATATGCATGTATGCATACACACATACATGCATACACTTCCCTGGACCCTCCCACATACATATGCACGTATGCACACATATCTGTATCCAACATGAATAAATGTAAGAAGTAACATAGCATGTTAGAGGAACTGAAGGGAGTCCAGTGTGATTGGAGTACAAAAAGCAAGGGGATGGTAGTTGGGAGAGACCGGATATTATAAGAGTTCAAGATTTGGTAATTGGGAACTGGTCTTCCTTGTAATTTTCTGTAGGTTAATGAGAGCTCTGATTTTGAAATCCACATAACTATGTGTGATGATGACCCTCCCACACCAGAAGAAGACTTAGAAACACAGCCTGATGAGGAGGAAGAAGAAAAACTTTCTTCACCAGAGGTGGGAGCTGCCATTAAGATTATCCGGCAATTAATGGAAAAGTTTAACTTGGATCTATCAACAGTCACACAGGCCTTCCTAAAAAATAGTGGTGAGTTGGAGGCTACCTCCTCCTTTTTAGAGTCTGGTCGGAGAGCAGATGGGTACCCCATTTGGTCCCGGCAAGATGACTTAGATTTGCAAAAAAATGATGAAGCTACCAGAGAGGCTTTAGTCAAAAAATTTGGTGCTCAGAATGTAGCTCGGAGGATTGAATTCCGAAAAAAATAATTAGCAAGGTAATGAGAAAAGAAAAAAACCATGAACAGTTGTGACCTGTGAACTTCAAAAAGTTCTTACATTGAAACTGACATTTATCTTCTGACCAATGCTGCTATCATTCTGTGAGTCTCAGTTTCTGTAGCCAAGCAGAGTTATGTAGGAGGATAAAAGTCAAAGAAATTGGATATATTTAGAGTTGTCCCTGGAAAGTATCAGTGTGTTTAAGAAAGGAAAATCTGAACCAGAGAAGTCGATCTACTAGGTAGTAATCCTTTGCTGGAATGGGAGCCCTGCTGTGCTAGTGAGAAGGAGCTTAGTGACAGAGTCAAAGAAAGAAAATCAGGACCATAGGTCTTTCCACATAGCTTGAGTAAAGAGCCTCCTGTCCTTTGCCAGAAGTTTGTCAGATCATAGTAGATTCAAATCCAAGAATCTAGAAAAATGGAAATTTATAATAAAAGGCCTTGAACATGGAGTGTCCCAAACCATTCCATTCCCAAGGAGCTCTAAATTTCTAGAATGTTTTGAAAATTGCATATTTGCTTTGCTAACTTAGTATTCAGGGCCCCTGTTCTTTGGCTATTGTTTTCTTGGAGCACTTCTGAGTCAGGTCTCTAGTATATGTCTCTACCTGACACTCAGTTCTGTTTCAAACGCAGACAAACCCCCAGAGTCTCAAGAACTATCTCTATTAATAGTAATGTGGTTTTTAAACGTCAATTGTGCATAGCTTTGTGCTAAAGATTGTGTTAGACTTAAAAATTCATGAATTGGTTCTTTGTTGTGTTTTCATTATTGAAAATAAATAAAACTTTGAATCTTTTAAAGTGTTTTCTTTCATTGTATACACAAACCTTTTAAAAAACCATTAAGGAACTCACCTTTTTGACTGCTGGTAATTAGAACCAACAAAGTTCCGCTTTAGCACAAACAGGCCGTAAGAAAGATGCTTGTTCTTCTGGAGGGAACAAAGAGAAGATCTGCATCAGAATTATGACGAGTGGCAAAATCAGAGGAACTGCTGAGAGCCGGGGAGGGAAGCCAGTCGGGACCAGCAGGTGTGAGCTGATAGCAGAACCCCACCCTTCCCCCTTAGACGCTGAATGTCCCAGCATGGGCTACCAACTGCGGTCTTGTCAGTACCTGCTTGAGGCTTCTTTTTGCTTAAAGCACTGTGGCATTAATACTCCTGGGAGCAGCCTTCAGCTAGTGGCAAGCGGTGATTAGAGGATGCATGCCCAGCTTCACTGCTGACTGGAGAAATCACAGCTGGGTATTTGTTAAAGTCTTGAGAAGGACAGTGCTTTCCGTGACATCTTTTAGGGTTTAGGGGTTCCCCACGGAGTCAAGGATAGTGCTCACAGTGGTAATATGCTTTTGAATGCCCCCTGTGTAGACTTCCTTGCTTTGTCTCATTTTCCTGTTAGGTACATTTTGGTATCATTGGGTACAGTCAGATTCTTTCCATAGAGTGCACTTCTGGTGGAACCTGGCATCAAGTCAAATCCCTTAACCTTGCCCCGCTCCTGAGTATAACACACTTTCACTAATACAACAGTAGCTAACTGTAATAGTAACTTTTAGATGGGCATTGGAAGGGGTTGTATAGTAGGCATTTAACTTTTAAAAAATTCATTTATTGAGACAAGGTCTTGCTGTGTTGCCCAAACTGGTTTTGAATGCCTGGGCTCAAGCTGTCTTCCTGCCTCAGCCTGCCCAGTAGCTGAGGATATAGGCATGTGCCACTGCAGTGGGCTTAGTCGCTTTTGTTTAAACTGTGTTCTCCATTTTGATAGACTCTAGGGTGGTTAAAAATTTCTGCTTTAGGTATAGAGATGTCATCCAGGATGTCTGTACCTTAGTAAAGTTATCACAGCTTACTGGCTCTATAGTACTAGAAGTTCCAGTATTGTAAAATATTATGCAAAATGATGTAATTTATTATACCCAGACTCCCAAAAGACATATTTGGACAAAACACACCAAGACAGACTTATGGAAGGTATCGGTGTAATTTCTTTCATCGTTGCATCTCTCCTGGTGGGAGGCATGGGTCAGAGGAAAAATCAGACGTAGCTGGGGTAGTGGTGTAGTCCTGTAACTCCAGCATTTAGGGGGCTGAGGATAGAGAATTTCAAGTTTGGGCCCAACCTGGGCAACTTAGCAACTTAGTGAGACTCTGTCTCAAGGAAAGAAAATGGCTAGGACTGTAACTCATGGTGAAGATCCTGGGTTTAATCCCCAGTAATTCTACGGACACACATGTGAACACACACACATCAAAAGTATTTTTGGGAACACAAATAGAAACAAGGAAAATGGGCCACATTTTAATGGCTAATGACATTGAGCTACAACTACATCTGCAAGTCCTGAAGTAGAATTATTTCTCCCTTGAGTTGCAGACCACCAGACTTTAGGTTTCTCTGTTGTGGGCTTCACGAGTGTGGTACTGGTTTTCTGTTTGTGTCCTGCCTTTCTCCAGGGAAAGACCCATTCTCCTAGCAGAAATAAAACTCGGGTCTTTTTTCCTGGGCTGACTTGTATGCTATCCAATTCCTCAGTTTCCCCAGTTCCCTTGTATTGGTTTGCCTGGACTGCCATAGCAACATACTGCACACTGGATGACTTAAACATAGGAATTTATTTCCTGGAGGCTAGAAGTCCAAGATCGAAGTATGTGTGGGTTTCATTTCTCCTGAGGCCTTTCTGGGCTAGCAGATGGCTGCCTTCCACCTCCACCTTTCAGTATGTTCTGATTTCCTCTTCTGTTAAGGACATCAGTCAGATTAAAGCAGGGCCCATTCTAATGGCCTCCTTTTACTGTAGCTGCCTCTTTAAAGGTATTTTCTCTAAATACAATCATATTTGGAGGTACTAGGAGTTAGGACTCGAACATATAAATTGTGAAGGTAGGAGGAAGGGCATAGTTTAGGTGATAACACCCCTAATTGGTGATTTGAACTTTCAAGATCAAGCCTCACTTTTGCCTGCTTTGACCAGTGATGGTGCTTCAAAATCCACGTGACCAGGACTACAACCACAGTGCCATATTGGAGGCCTCATCTTTGACATCCACAGTTTGTTCTTCCCGGGCACCTGAGGTGTGAGGAGGACACAGCAGTAAGCAGTATGTTGGGTCCTCTGAGCCTGCCGGTGGGTGTGATGTCTGTGCAGAGGAGCTGGATAAACTGAACTGCCATCTCAGCCTGCTCTTCACTAAGCCTCCACTTCTCAGGGGCAAAATCTCAGAGCCCTGGGAACCCCTTGTGCAATGACCAGGCTCCCTAGTGACAGGGAGCATTCAGGTGCTCCTTAGCGGAGGAGGTTGTATTTGCTGGTCTCTGTTACCATGTCCCACTGCCCCAGGAAGTCCTGTACTAACTGCCCCATGGAGCCTAAGACCGCTGTGTTATACAAGACTTTCCCACAGATAGTGTTTCTCTGAAAAGGTTAATGTCTGTCAAATAAATCAAGAAGAAACATGGAATGCAGCCGGGTATGTGTGTGTGGCTGCTGCAGCGGCAAGGACCTGGCCTTCCACCCCACTTTGCGCCTGTTACTCCACTTCTTGCCTGGCCCAAGATGGATCTGCTTGTGGGCGTTAGTGAGGTGGGACCCAGACATGTTCTGGCCTTCCCGACAAGATGTGGACCCTCACACGTGACCCAGAGTGCACACTGACATGCTCATCTGCTGGAGCCCGAACAGGAATAACTTCCGCATTTGGGCTGGGCCAGTTTGCCAAGGAGATGCTGCCCTGGTACTGTAAGCACAACAGGGCCAGCTTCGTGGGGCAGCTCAACTTGCATGGCTTCTGGAAAGTGGGCTACATTGAACAGGGCAGTCTCGTCAACGATACCCCAAGTACCACAGCCAGCTCCAGCACCCGTGCTTCCTGCATAGCCAGGAGCAGCTCCTGGGAACAAGAGGGAGTGGCTAGCGTGTCCACCCTGCGGAGTAAGGACAGCGATGTACCAGGACAGTGTCACAGTGTCACCAAGCTCCTGGTGTGCACACTGCTGATGAAGGGAAAGAGTGTTAATGAACTCCAAGCTCTGGCTGTGAAACATGAATGCAAGACTGTGTGTCTGTCGGTGGCCCACCTAAGGCGGAAGTACACCCAGTAGCAAAATATCATCCACAAGTTCATTCGGTTCCTGACTCATGCAGTTGAACAGGATCCTGTGCGTGAAGAGGAAAATCCTGATGTTGGACAGCAACTCAGCACATTCTATGCCCAAATATACCAGGAAGTGCCACTCAGAGCGTATGTCTGTGGCCCCGGCCTCACTCAGCTGCATTCTCTGCCTACAGCAGTTCCAGTCTCTACACCCCCGACATTGTTGCCAGCTCTGGACCCAGACTCTGACATTGCTGAGCTGGCTTCTACCTGCCTTTGGCTTCTCCAGGTGGGAGCATAGATGGGAAGCTCCCAGGAGAGGAGCTATACTCTCTCAGGAGGATGGCTATGGATAACCTTACCATCTCCCTGCTGAGGGCTCTGAGTCCCCAAAGACAGGGACCGTAAGAGAAGCTGGCCAGAGTGGGCCCATGACCTACCCCACATTAGTGCACAGAGCTGGTCTGGGGGAGGCTGGGCACAGTCCCAAGGCATCCTTGCTTGGCCAGTATAGCCCTACTGAGGGCAAAAGGGAGAGGCTGGGGCTAAGCAGTGCCTCTGGTAAGGAAAGACTGAGAGTCCCCTGGGCCTGCCTATAGGCTGCTTTTGCCCCAGCTCTATCTGGTTTTTGTTTTGTTTGATTTTTTGAGGTAGGGTCTCACTATGCAGTTCAGGCTAGCCTAGAAGTCATGTGGCCTAGGCTGGCCTGAACTTGTGGTGATCCTCCTGCCTCAGCTTCCTGAGGGCTGGGATTATAGGCATGTGGCTCCAGCTCTGGCTTCCTTGTCCCTGTATCTTACGGTTCAGTTTGGTTGAGGTTTCACAGCCACACTTGGACTAACTGCAGGTTGTTCATAGTCAGAAATGTATTTGGACTTATCTCTATAGAGGTATACACTGGTATCTAGGAAAGATGAGATCTATAAACAGGCTTTAAAAAAGAAAGAAAACTTATAAAAAGCACAAAGATAGGGTTGGGGATATAGCTCAGTGACACAGTGCCTGGCAAGCATGAGGTCCTGAATTTGATTCCCAGAACAACAAAAAAAGTACACATATAAAAAGCCAGGTATAGCCCTTGAGAAGCTGAGGTAGGAGGAGAGTTCAAGGCCATCCCTGGCTGTATGGCAAGATCCCATCTCAAAGAATTGAAAATACAAATACAAAACATGGAAAACAAAGCACTGCTATGTATGCTGTTGGAAGAGAAAGGCTTTTGGAAACTACATTATGAGAACGCATTTGAAAATCGAGGTGAAATGGATATAGTCTAAGAAAAATTCAACTTCCCAAAACTGATCTAAAGAGAGATGTTGTTTTACAGACTTTCATATGAGTCACCTTTCCATCACTGGGACAAAATGCCTGACATGTGCAACTTAAAGGAGGAAGGGTTTACACTGGCTCATGATGGTCCTGAGTTCTCAGCAATAAATGCAGAACATCACGGCAGAGGAAGGCTTGCGTACCTCACGGTGGCTGGAGGCAGAGGACAAGGAGGAGAGCCAGCGGGAGAGAGGTACAGCCACAGGCCTGTGCCCAGGGGTCACCACCTCCCACCCGCCACTCCGCCTTGTGGCCCAGGCAGCTCCGAACTCACCAGCGCACTCACCACACTTCCTGACACAGCCACCTTGTGAAAACCACACCTCTGAACACATGAGACTTTGGGGGACACTGTAGATCTAATCTGTAACAATATTTAAGGTGTGGAATTAGGAGTCAACAATTTTCCCATAAAATACAGTGTCAGACCCAGAAGTTTAATTTTCAAACTTTTTTTCTGAAGTTTTGTGTTTTTGAGACAGGGGTCTCCTTGTGCAGTCCAGGATGGTCTTGAACTCACTATGTAGCCCAAGCTGGTCTCAGACTCATGGCAATCCTCCTGCCTCAGCATACCGAGTGCTGGGATTATTGGTGTATAGCACCATGCCTGCCAAATTTCAAACATTTAATAAAGGAATAAATGAGGCCAATCATTAATATAGATATCAAAACCTTTATTTACTTTTAAAACTAATACATAAAAAATGTGCATATCTGCCAGGCATGGTAGCACATAATCTCAGCCTTCTGGAAGGGTGAGACAGGACAGTCACAAGTTTGAGCCCAACCTAGGCAATGTAAAAAGATTCTGTCTTGAAATACAAAAAAAAAAAAAAAAAAAAAAAAAAAAAAGGGCTGTGATGTAGCTTAATGCAAAGGCTCTGGGTTTAATCCCCATTACTAGGGGGAGAAATAAAAGAGTGTATGTCATGACCTAGTTGTTTTTTTCTAAAATGTAAAAGCAGCTGCTATGAGCTTTTTGATACTGTGGTGCTTTCTATCAGATATTTTGCCTCTGAGGGACATGGTGGCGAGCAGGGCATGTGCTTCTGGAAGAAGCTGCTTAAGACTTTGCAACTGCTATCCTTTAGGGGATGCCCTTGTTACCGGTGAGCTGGCGCAGCACTAGCTGCAGCTGAGAGAGCAGGGACTTTCCATGAGTTTGAGGAAACTGACCCTGCAGCTGCACCTGAGGAGAGGGTGATTGCTACTGTAGATTCCTAGGACGCTGGTCCTTCGGCAGCTGCTTTTGGGATGGTTTCTCATCTTGACAACTGTGAGATTGTTCATGCTGCTCTGGGTGACTTCGCTGATTCTGCTGCTGTCCTTGCAATACTGAGTACTGCCAATGATCTTCCTTCTGCTCTTCCCTGTTCATCTCTTTGAACCCTCTACAAGCATACTGCAAAAGGATGGGGCTTACATGCTGGTTTTCCCTGGCTGCAGGACTGCTGCTGAAAAAGTGCCGTGCAAAGGTGCTAAGATAATAAAGGTTTATCACAGGGTTGTAGCTGGCAAGAGAATATGGACTTCTTGTTTTATCTTCATACTCCAAAGCACGGCCCGGCTGCTTTTCAGAGCCTGCAACAATAGAGCTCTTAGAAGTCTGCCTGTTGACTGGAAATCTGCCGTTTCTGCAGACAGGAGCCTCCGGCTGTGCCTGTCGGAGATTTGTGGGCCAACAAGAACCCTGCTCAGGGGCACACTTGGGAGCTGCAGCCTGGGTATCCTGGTGGCTTCACCATGGATGGGCTTGGACTGAGGATTTTTGTTGCTTCTGCATAGTAAATACTTTCTTTTTTCTTCCGGTGGAAGTCTGGATCTTTTACTCTGGAACCAGCTCAAAAGGGAAAAGATAATATTGTTTGAAGAAATCTACTTAAGTGATTATATTCCCCAATACATTTCCTAAATGAAGAAGCGTTCCCTGTTTAAGTCTCTTTCCAGCAGAGTCCCTGACTTGCCTTCTGAGTAAGGTGTGTAAAAATTAAAGGCAAACTCTTCGGGGCTGCATGTGAGAGTACAGAGGTCGTACATGGAGGATTTCTAGAACCACGAGCTTCTTCACCGGAAACAGTGATCCCATGGTTTACATGTAAGCCATGCCATTCAGAATCTCCCCCCAAATTCTGTGTGACCCACACAGTCTTCTCTCCCTTATTCAATAAGAGACTTCTGTAGCACAGAGAAGGCTCCCAGCTGTCCCACCTATGCCTGCATTCTTCCCCAGACCTCACCCCACCAGAGTGAATAAACCATGCTCTTTCTGAAGTGCCACATTTCTGTTTCTCTCATGTGCATAATTCTTACGTGCACTGGGTTCAAAGGTGCCAAATAAAGTAAGCAATTGCTTTGAGTTATTACTTGACCACATATTTACAGCAAGACCCTAACCATTACATTCAACTTCTCTAATCCTAAATTTTCACCTCCCTAAAGAGGATAATAAAATATGTCGCCGGGCGTGGTGGCGCATGCGTGTAATCCCAGCACTCGGGAGGCTGAGGCAGGAGGATCGTCGTGAGTTCGAGACCAGCCTCAGCTACAAAGTGAGCTCAATCAAGGCCAGCCTGAACTGCATAGCGAGACCCTGTCTCAAAAAGACAACAAAGGGGCTGGGGATTTAGCTAAGTGGCAAAAGCGCCTGCCTGGCAAGCGCAAGGTCGTGAGTTCGGTTCCTGGTACCGGAGAAAAACCAAAAAAGAAAAGAAAAAAAAAAAATAAAAAAGACAACAAAACAAAACAAAAAACTAGATGGTACCTACCACACACCTGGGCTATCTACTCTTTTGCTCACAGGCAGTGAACCTGTTACTTGTTACTGTCCCAAATACTATAGGCAACTGTAACCCAGTGGTAATTATTTGTGTATCTAAACTAGAGAATGTGCACACACCTGTAATCCAGCACTTGGGAGGCTAAGGCAGAAGGTTCACCATGAGTTTGAGGCCAGTCTGGGTTCCATAATGAGTTCAAGGCCAGCCTGAGCTACATAGACAGACCCTGTCTCAAACAAACAAATACACACATACACACACACACACACAAATATGAATATGGCTTTTTTTTGGTGGTGGTAGTGGGGATTCATACTAGGACCTTCACACTGAACTATACCCCTGGTTCTTCACTTTTTTTTTTTTTTGATACAATGTCTTACAAAGTTGCTAAGTTGTCTAGGCTGCACTCAAATTTACAACATTCCTGCCTCAGCCTCTCAGAGTATTGAGATTATATGTGTGTACCAGCACATCTGGCATTTGCAGTCCAGTGTTTTGACAAAATGACAGTATGTGTGGCACACAGCTATGTATAAAATAGGCAAAGTTCACCTATGCTGCTTGGAAGGCAGCATATCAGCTACTGAGGGAGGAGTTGCAGCCTTAAAGGGAGGAGGATGACAAGTCTCTGAGTGTTGCTGCTGGTGCCATGTGTGAAGTTAGTTTGTGAAAACCCATTGAATTGCTTTTTAAAAAATGTACATTCTATTTCAATAAAAATTATTTTTATTGAGATGAGGTCTCTCAAGAGCCTACTCAAAGCCTGAGGCAGGAAGATTGTAAGTTCAGGGCCAGCCCAGGCAACCTAGCAAGACCCTGTCTCAAAATAAAATCATAAGTGCTTATAAATCAGCCTAACATTTATAAGAAAAAAATAATAAAATTGTAAAAATGGATACTCAAGTCCTCTTGACCTAGTATTGTGTGGATCCTCAGTCCCCCTTTATATTTAGATTACATTAGGTTTGAATTTTAAATTTCCACACACCTTAAAAAGATCCGGGTGTGGTGGTGAAAGAGAAAACTATACTAGAAACAACTGTTCTTTTAAAACTTTGTCCTCTTTGAAGTTGCCTAGCTCTGTAACTGTTTCATGGTTCTGTAATTGCTTTCTTGACCCCTGTAACTACAAGAGTGTAACTGAACCTGGTTGTACCAAGCTATGTGGTCATTAATCTAGCCCTGTAACCGAAGATCTCACCCTGCTAGCTAATCAGAAGAGCTGCCAGGCTGTCCCTCCCGCCTTTGTAACCCCTGCTTATGCCTCATATAAAAATTCTGCCTCACAGACACTCGCTGCCTGGCTTCTGTTGGAAGTTATTCCAGCCAGGATCTCTGGTATAAAATAAAGCTGTTTACTGCCTCCTGACTTCCTCGGGTGTTGTTCCTTTCCTGGACTTAGTTTTGCTGCAACACACTCCTGTATTCCCAGCAGTTTGGGAGGCTGAGGCAGAAAGATCATTTAGTGACTTTTAGCAAGACCCTGTCTCAAAACAAACAACAAAAAAAGAGATAAAAAAATTTGTCATATCTTTACTGAACATAAAAGAGGAGCAAGAGGGGTCTGGAGACTGGGAAAAAGCTCACTGAGAAGGTCCTAGATTCAACCTTCAGCCCTGAAGAAAAAAAATAAGATGGGAGAAGTAATGAGAGTAGAAAAACAGTAAAGGGCTAGGGTGTAGCTCCGTGGTAGAAAGCTTGCCTAGCAGGTGTGAGGCCCTGGGTTTGAACCCCAGCATCCACAGAGATGCTGTGGAGGAAGAGGCTGTGTGCTGACACAGTGCAGCGGGGGAAATGTGCACACAGCTTGCCATCTTTCCTCATCTAAACACTGGAGGTTTAGACGAAACTGATCACTTTACCACATGTGCTTTTGTTGAGCTTTTCGACAAGAATTAGGCCGTATGATTTTTTCTAAAATTAATTTATATTTTCACATAAGTGCATTGATTCCTTAAGGAAGCTTTTTTCTATCACTATCTGTCTTAGTCACTTTCCTCACTGCTGACACCCACAAGTTAAAGGAGGAAAGGTTTATTTTTTGTTCAGTTTGTAGTGGTTTCAGTTCATAGTCAGCTGGCTCCAAGGCAGGGTGGCGTGATAGAGGGTCATTGCAGAGGGGAAACAGTCCTAGGCAGAGCAGGCAGGAGGCTGCAAGCAGCAAACAGCAAACCTCCCTTTCCCTTTTAACCCATCCAGCCTACAAGCCTTTCGATGGCAGAAAGATCATTTAGTGACTCCTGCATGCTAGACAGGGACACTTATCAGCCCACACTCAGGGTGGGGCCTTTCCATTATCCACACCCAGAACTATGCTAAACCAATCAGTGGATCACTTTGGTACCACATACCTTTAACCCCAGTATCACATACCCTAGATCCAGCCATTTCTGAAAAGCCCCATCTATGAGCACACAAGCCTTTCGGGGGACATCTTGATTCAAGCCATAGCACTACCCTTAAATGTGGGCCACTTGTGCTTTAAAATATGAAATATATTGAAAAGAAAACAATACTACCAGGTGTTGTTTCTATTGTTGTAGAAAACAATACTACTGGCACATGCCTGTAATCCCAACACTCGGGAGGCTGGGGCAGGAGGATCACTGCAAGTTCGAGACCAGCCTATGCTACATAAGTGAGCTCAAGGCCAGCCTGAACTGCATAGCAAGACCCTGTCTAAAAAAACAAAAAAACCCCAAAAACCCAAAAAACCAATACTACTAAATTTAAAAAATTTAAGAGAGACCATTTAAGAGAGATATTCCTCTTTTAACAACCTACCTGTTTAACTACCGTTTGGACTTACAACCAAGGCACACAGTTCAAATTTACAACCCATATTTCTTTTGTACAGTTCTGTACATCTTGTTTATAGAGCCTCAATGTCTTTTGTTTTGTTTTGCACAGTATGTCTTATTTATACAGTACTGTAATATTTGCTGATTGTACTATACAGTATATTGCTATGGTTTTATGTTCTGTTACACATTACAGTACTGCATATAAGAGTTATGCAAATAAAAGCAAGGTCATCAAGTTGGAGTTTCCTTTAACCATTTCTTTGTTCTGAATATTATAATGGACATGCTATATACAATTCCTCATTTAGTGACCACTTCATTTAATGACCTACTTACAGGAAGGGAACTCGATCCTTAGGCAAGGAATGTCTATACAAAGTAGGACAGGGTATAGCTTAGTGATAAGTGTCCCTGTCTAGCATGCAGGAGGCCCTGGGTTTGTACTCTCCAGTACCGAAAAAACAAAACCAGTCCAACAAAACAACAAAAACCAAAACAAAGCAAATCTAAGCAATTTACAAAAGAATTCATATTGAAAAATAACATCTTGTGGGGCTGGGGATTTAGCTCAGCAGCACAGCGCCTGCCTGGCAAGTGCGAGGTCATGAGTTCGATTCCCGGTACTGAAAACAAAACCAAAAAAACAAAACAAAAAGAAAAGAAAAGAAAAGAAAAATAACATCATGTAATATATAATTGTACTATGACACATTGATAATTTCTCCCTCAAATATGTTTAAAAACAGAAATTTAATCATTTATTTCAAAATAAATAGAAACTAGAAAAAGTTACTGTTTTAAGCAAAAAAATTTAACCATTTAGACTGGTAAATCATAACTTATTTTTGTTTAAATACTTATGCCAATGAATAGAAATATGAACAGGATGTGGTGGCACATGCCTGTAATCCCAGCACTTGGGAGGCTGAGGCAGGAGCATTGCCTTGAGTTCAAGGCCAGCCTGGGCTATATAGCAAGACTCTATCTCAAAAACTAAAATGAAACAAAGAAAAAGAAAAAGGTTCAATATCATTAATCATTAGGGTAATGCAAATCAAAACTATAATACTGTATTTAACACACTAACTCACTCAATAGTATAGCTATAACTCTTTTAAACATGGAAAAAAATAACTGTTGGTTATAATGGAGAAACAAGAACCTTATGCATTATGGTTAGACTGTCAAATGATGGAACTGCTTTGGAAGACAGTCGGGCAGCTCCTCTGAAAGTTAAGCGGAGTTCCCATAGGACCTAGCAATTCCACTCCTAGGTAGCTGCCCAATCAAGATGGAAGTACATTACTTACACAAAAACTGGTGTGTAAATGTTCATATGTTCATAGCAGCCTTACAATAGACAAAAGACTGAAATAACTCAAATATCCATCAGGCTATGAAAGGGAAAATAAATATTTTGTTTTTGAAATACTATTTGGCAGTAAAAAGGAAAGGAATGCTATGCATGGATCAACCTTGAAAATATGGTAAGTAGAATGTTTTGGGGAAAAATAGGTTTTGTGGTTGTATAATCACAAAAGAGTACATAGTATATGATTCCATTTACATGAAATGCACAGAATAAATAAATCCATAGAGGCAGTAGATTAGTAGTTGCCAGAGACTAAAAGAAGGAGAAAAATAACCACTAACAGGTGTGGGGTTTCTTCCTAGGATGATGAAAATGTTCTTAATTAGATAAAGGTGATGGTTACCTAATTCTGTGGCTATACATACCAAAAACAACTGAATTATATACTTTAAAAGAGTGGCTTTTATGGTATTGAACTGTATCTCAATAAAGCTTTTATTTTATTTTATTTTAGTCTTTTTGAGACAGGGTCTCACTGTTCAGTTCAGGCTCGCCTTGAACTCACTTTGTAGCCCAGGCTGGTCTCGAACCTGCAAAGATTCTCCTAGCTTAGCCTCCTGAGTGCTGGGATTACAGGTGTGCACCACCACGCCCAGCTAAGGCTATTATTTTAAAGAGAAAGAAAAATGAATAAAGAGAAGTGTAATTTTAAATGAAGATGTGACTATTTTAAGCACATATTTTATTAATAATATCATGACTAGGCTAGAAAAATCATAATTGGAAATTTCCCTTTGGAGATCTTAAGGTTGATGCTAAGTTGAAAAAGAAAGTTTGTGACAGCAACTTAAATACAGACAGTTTCAGGTCTTAGGCACAGGTGTCTCAGGCTTCTAAGGAAGCATTTCCCAAAATAGTGTTAAGTCTGCAACTTATAAATGACTTCTGTTTCAGGAGAATGTTCCTAAGTCAGGTTGGTCTGTAGTCCACAAAGTGAGTTTTATACAGTACATGTGTGTATCTTATATAGTACAGCTGTGGAAGTTCTCAACTAAGCTGAGGACTTAAAACTATATGTGACTTTTCTGAGGACTGAAACGAAAATGTTTCAGTCCTCAGAATGCATTCTCCATTTTCTATATATCTATTTATCTTTGTGCTTGTCTCTATTTCTGGCCTATTAGATCTGAATCATAAACCCAACCCCCATTATACAACAGTAGCCCAAATAAAATAAAGACTGTTAGAATTAAAGGCATTAGAATGTTAGAATTACAGGTGTGGGCACTTGTACAATTATCCTACTCTCTCAATTTATTTGTTAGGATGGGATATTCCAAAAATGCACGTCACTTGATTCTTTTAAATTTTGAGATCCAGGCATTGTGGTGCATACCTGTAATCCCAGTACTTGGGAGGCTGAGGCAGAAGGATTGTTGTGAGTTCGAGACCAGCCTGGGCTACAAAGTGAGCTCAAGGCCAGCCTGAACCGCATAGCGAGACCCTGGCTCAAAAAAGACAAAAACAAAAACAAAAACAAAACTACCACACCAACTAAAATAGATAGCAATATAGAAATGGCTCAGATAAATAAATATCATGGAAAAACATTAGCTCTATTGTCAGTATGTCGTACCTAACATCTTTTGGCTCCAAACACCAACTAAATATGCATTGATACTGATGGGAAAGCATTTTAAAAAGCAAACTTTCAGAAGTAACTTGACTACCAAAAATTCAGGGAATGGTCACTTAAGCCGAGCCATGCAGTGCCTGCAGCACAGTCTTACCCCATCCTTCCAGCCCAAGGTCCATCACCTGGATGGCCTCAGTGCAAATGGAGTTCCTCCAGATTATCACCTGAATGTAATATAGTTCATTACTGTTACAGAATGAAAAAGGATGAATCCTAGCAAACAGAACCAGTGGTTTTAGAAGAGCTGTGGCATAGAATTCTCAAGATGTATGTGGATGAGGGACTTGCTGTCACCTCACGTGTCATACCTGGTGTGCCCTGCGCTGTGGCTTCAGTTGCTATGGCTGGAGCAACCGGGGGCTGCTGCTGACTGGAGCTCACTGAGGGAGAAAGGGTTACCTCACAGGGGCCCTGGCTGGGCAGATGGGGTAGGGACTCTCTGGAAGCAACTTGCTCATCCTGTCCAGGCAGCTGCAGGGCGCACAAAGGAACAGGGTGGGATGTGCTCACGGACATCTGCACGGCCACTTGTGGGCTGGTGCCTGGGGCACCAGGCAGTCCTCTGTTTGGTGAAGCCAGAGCTAGCCTAGCGGTCTTTGGGATGCCTGGCCTGGAGACCGCAGAGCTGGAAGCAGACACACCAGGTGGGTCCAGCTCCGCGCCGATGGCAGATGTTACAGCGGGAATCGGCTTAGCAGATCCTACACAGCAGGGACCAGCATGGGCCTGAGGCTTGGCTTGTGCCATCTGTGTCAGTGACAGGGCTGGCCCAGCTGCCCTTCCCGTGAGCTCTGCATTTGCTACAGAGTAAGAATCGTCTGGAATCTCTTGTTTGATTTTCTTCCTGATCACATCCTTGCTGCCTTGGCCGGCCATCTGCACCTGGGAGCACCAAGGGCGGGAAGAGGGCGCTGCTCCCGGGGTTTTGCGAGGGGCGCTTTGAGGCCATCCGGTGGCGGGTTCAGAGGAGCTATCCTGGACTGGAGCAGAAGAGTCACGAACCGTGCCAAGCTGGATGCTTTCATCTTCATCCTCGTCCCTAGCTTCATCTAGTTCAGAGGGCTCGCTGCGGTGGGAGAAGCCACTAGAGTCTCTGGTCCAGCGACCATCTGACGCCATTCTCGCTGGTTTCCGAGGGCTAGTCTGTGTCCCGGAAGGCTCTCCGATTGTACTGGGACCCTCAGGGAGAAAACTTGTGTTGCCTTGGGAACAGCCTCTCACTGGAGACCCCGCTGTGCAGGTAGCAGTTACCCAGCGGAGGGTATGGCCAGCCTTACACTGCCACGCTGCAATCAGGTTCCCATGGAGACCTTCAACGCTGCAGAAGAGAGCATGGCTGTGCACCCAGGTGACCAATCTGGCCAGGTCCTCCAATGAGGTGTGAAGCCAGTGCTCCATGTTAGGAGGATTGGCAGTATCTTCCTGCACGCCTGTGTTCCCTGGGCGGCGGGTGGGCCAGAGAGGAGCAGAGAGGCGTGAGTGCGGAAGGCTCCCACCTGCTGCCTAAAGCGGTGTGGCAGGGGGCGGGGCTGCAGCCTAGCTCTGCCCCACGCGTGCGTACCAGACTCAGCATGCCTGGTGGGTGTTTCACTTTTTTATTTTGAAACCAGGTCTCCCTAAACTGCTAAGGTTGATCTTTATTTATTTTTTTGGTACTGGGATTCGAACTCAGTTCCTTGTGCTTACCAGGCAGGCGCTTGTATCGCTGAGCTAGATCCCCAGCCCCTAAAGTTGGCCTTAAACTGGGCATCCTGCTGCCTCAGTCTCCCAAGTAGCTGGGATTATGGGCGTGTGCCATCATGTCCAACATAATAGAAGTTTTTGAACATTTATTTAAAAATAATAGTAAAGCCAGATGTGCTGGCGCACACCTGTAATCCCAGCACTAGGGAGGCTGAGGCAGGAGGATCCCTGCGAGTTCAAGGCCAGCCTGGGCTACAAAGTGAGTTCAAGGGGGACGTAGCTTAATGGCACAGTGCCAGCCCAGCAAGCGCGAGGTCGTGAGGTCGATTCCCGGTACCAAAAAAAAAAAAAAAATCAAGGCCAGCCTGAGCTGCATAGTGAAACACTGTCTCAAAAAGAAAAAAAAGAAAAAAAGAAAATTTTACTCTAAATGCAAGCAGTCACAGAAAGCCTTGTATTGAGAGTTCATGCTTATAAAATGCTTAGCCATGGATAGAAAGTGGATTAGCCATTACCAAGGCCTCAGGGCAGTTGGGGAAGGCATGGCTGCTAATGGCTTGGGTTTAGTTCTGAGTAAGAAAAATGTTCTGGAATTAAATATTGGTCATCACAAAATGTACACTAATAATGTAAAATGAAACTTCAAAAGGAAAGAGAAACTGGGATAGTGGAATGGAGAAAAGAAGAGAAAAGCAAAAAGAAAATAATAATATATATATGGCAGTTAAGATAGTTATACTACTAATATCTCTTAGTTCATTGAAAAGAAAGGTTTGTGCTAATATTGTTTAGACAATTAAATGCTGATATCTTGTATTCTGAGTAACTAATTTAAAGATAACAATATGCAATATATTAACCACGGTTACTTTCCTATTATCTTCTTTTGAAATTTTGTTTTTTTTCTCTTTAAATAAAAAAAAATGTATTGGTGATCATTGCACAACTTTGTGAATATACTAAAGAACACTGAAGCCGGATGTGGTGGCACATGCCTGTAATCCCAGCACCTGGGAGGCTGAGGCAGGAGGGTTGTTGCAAGTTCAAGACCAGCGTAGGCTACAAAGTGATCGCAAGGCCAGCTTGAACTGCATAGCGAGACCCTGCCCCAAAAGGACCAAAAAAAAAAAAAAAAAAAAGAGCATTGCATTTTACATTTTAAAGCTATGAATATGGAGAGCCTGGCACCTGATACCAATCTTCTAGTGCAAGATCAAGAGGGTTTTTATGGGAACGCCTAGATCTAATGTCAGAAAGAAGACCTACAAAGCGGCAGCCACTGACTTTGCCGCACTGTCCTCCTGTCTTGCAGTGGCCCGTCCTTCTTGCAGGATGTAGCTTCTCTTTCCTTCAAAGCAGTCTTTTCTCCTCGAGTGCTTTTTTTATACTTCTCTTTCTTCTGCTTGTTTTTTTCCTCTTATAAAGAAAATGTTCATCTTTCACATTTATCAGTTGTTCCAGCAGATTCACCGAATGGGACAATGAGACTGGAAAGCATTGCTGGTCTCCAAGTTTCGGGATCTTGTCCACAGCCTTTCCTATCCAGTTTCAGGTCTGGGAGGTTGAAGGAGGGACAGACGTGGGTCTCCCAGGGGAGCGCAGATACCTTTTAGCAGAGGCTCTCCAGGGGCAGGGCAATCAGATGCTTCAGGCCAAGGTCCTGAAAGTTTCAACCCTGGGCCCAAACTACATAATATCCCACCCTCAGCCTGCCCCACGATAACCCTTAGGCCTAAATGCTACTAACCTACTTGTGCTTCCTGTAATCTGTGATCTCCCCAATTCAATTTAAGAATGGAACTTCTGGTCACCCTGCTCATGAAAGACACTCTGATTCACATGAGATTCCAGGCTTGTAACCTGAGATCCCTTGAAAGACATTAACTTTTTTTTTTTTTTTTTGTGCTATGAATTGAACCCAGGGCCTCCTGTGTTAGGCATTTCTGTACCACTGAGCCATACTCTTATCCCCTAATCCCTTTTTCTCCAGGCACTTTGATCTGAACTCTTGCTATAGAAGCTAAGAGTTACCATTTTCATTTTCTTTCTGCAGCCTCCGGGGCCTGTAAGTGCTTTGTCACTGAGCTATAGCCTCAGCTGACTTTTAAAATTTATTTTTTGTTTGTTTTGAGACAGAGTCTTGCTATGTAGTTCAGGTTGGCCTTAGACTCACTGTGTGGCCCAGGCTGGCCTTGAACTCAAAGGGATCCTCCTGCCTCAGCCTTCCAAATCCTGCCTGGGATTATGGACATGTGCCATCACTTCCAGCTGTTCTCATATTTTATATCCTCCTGTCTCAGCCTACCTAGTAGCTGGGATTATAGGTATGTGCTATCACATCGAGCATGATTCACCTTTTTCTTCCAGAGAATTAGGTCCTACTTACCTCCGATAAACATGTAGATTTACACAGGTATAGAGATGCAATATAGATGCAAATACAGATATAAATTTACAGATTTATGTATATATACAGTATGTGGGGTTTCGGATATGCATATGGCTGTGGATGATGTAATTATAAAACAACGGATGCCCCTTCATTAATATTAGACTTCTTTTCAAAACTCGGAGAACTCTCTTCACATGTGTGTAAAGTATGGGGAAATGACTGATATTAGTAGAGCTCTAAATACTAGATGAGCTCCCTCTCATCTCAGCCTGCCCACAAGTCATGGGGGGAAGAATTTAAAAATAAACTAGCCACATCATCACTGTCAAATAATTATATCAGAATCTTCCTGGGTAGATCTGTGCCATCAGTATGCTGCATGGCCATGTGTGCACATATGTGTATGCATTTTCATTCTCTACGTGATGATGAAAGTACATCTCACGTTAGTAGTAGGATGTAACTTGACAATATGATGTTGGAATATTTTGGCAGTTGCTCTTTAGCCTATGAACCTTCTTAGCAAAGCACTTATTCATGATACTCCCAGACACCAGTGAGCATGCCCACCCCTTGCCTGTGTGTAGTAGTGCAGAACTGGTATCTCTGTAAAACTACATCTGTGTTTTAACACCTTCACATGGAAGTGAGAGAACTGCAGAATGGAATAGACTGACAAGTGACAACATGAACCAAAAAATATTTTTCAAAGATACTTGTATTAGGCAGGTGTGGTGGCACATGACTGTAATCTCAGCACTCTGGGAGGCTGAGGCAGGAGGAGCACAAGTTCAAGCCCAGCACAGGTGACTTAATGAGACGCTGTACACAAATTTTAAAACATAGAAAAAGGGCTGGGGATTAGCTTAGTACAAAGGCCTTGGATTCACTCCCTAGTACTAGTAAAAAAAAAAGAAGGAAAGAGAGGACAAGATAAAGGATGATTACCCCAAGGTTTGTGTGTATGTGTATGTGTGCGTGCGTTAATAATTGAACCTAGGGCTTTGCCCATGCTAGTCAAGCACTATACCACTGAGCTACATCCCAATCCCTACCAAGATTTTAAATTAACATATAACCAAACTGGGCGTGGTGGTACACACCTATAATCCCAGCACATGGGAGGCTGAGACAGGAGGATCGTTAAGAGTTTGAGACCAGCCTGGGCTACACAGTGAGCTCAAGACTAGTCTGAACTACACAGAGACCCTCTCTGAAAAAGGCAAAAAAAAAAAGGAAAAAGATTAACATATAATCTATTTATAATGAAGGGAATTGTATGAGTATGTAATATATAAAAAAATTCAAAACCTAAACGTGTAGAAACACTAATAGCATTAGTGATTTCATGGCTTTACTATAATTTCCTTACAGCTGGATGTGGTTGACACACACCTGCAATCCCAGCACTCAGGAGGCTGAGGCAGGAGGATCACAAGTTTGAGGCCAGCCTGGATTACATTGTGAATTCAAGGCCAGCCTGAACTACATAGTTTTGGGAACCTGTCTCAAAAAACAAAAATAAAAATAAACACAAACAAAACAAAACCCCCAAACAATTTTTTCCTTGCAATGTTTGTGATCAAAGGAATACTCAGTATGGAAGGAGTACTCATTATGTGAATACTCAGTATTATGGATATGCCCTTATCCATTTAACTCACTTCCTTATTAATGGATGGTGAGGAAGTAGTTCCCAGTTCCCAGTTTATGTCTTCAGAGCTCAGAGGAAGAAAAGCTCACTTTTATGAGCATATATCACCAGAAAACATGGCCTTTTTTTTTTTTTTAAAGATCATTCAGGTTCGCTTTGAACTCACTGTGTAGCCCAGGCTGGCCTGGAACTCACAGTGATTCTCCTGCCTCAGCCTCCCAAGTGCTGGGATTGTGAGCAGGAGCCACCATGCCTTCTGCATATCAGACTAACGTCAAATTTGCCTTAGCGCCTGGTGAGGGGGGAAGAAATGCCAGTGGATCTCTTGCAGGCCTGTTCTCTTTGCCCTGGCGTGTTTAGGGCTGTGGATTTTCCAGACTGAAAAATGCTGGGGCTCAGAAGGCTTCAGCAGACTTGTCCCCTGCTTGGTGCCTCAGTGGCTCTGAGGCAGTGGGGCTGGGTGCCATGGGTAAGCACTCCCACGCAGCGCAAAACCTCCTCCTTCCCCTGCGCCAGTCTTGCTTCAGGACGGGATGCCCTCAGTGGTCATCTTTTCAATGGTATCTGCGTCAAAAGAGAGGAGGCCTGGAGCAGGGTCACCGACAGCCTTCCGTCGTGTGCAGCAGAGCCGACAGTCGTCTCACTGGGGCTCGGTGGGGCCCACAAAGG